GCGGTCAACGTCCGCGACACCAACGCTCCGCTTGCTGCTGCCTCGCCTTCTGCGGGTGGTAGCAGCCTCGCCCTCGTCTGGGCTCCAGGACCCAGGTCGACGCGCTGGCTCCTTCCCGTTGCGCAATTTTCAGCCCTGGCCGTCTCCAGCATGTCATCTGCCATGCTGTGCGTGCTCGCCGTATGTGATCGTTTGTGTCTCAAGAGTCGGAGAGAGAGCAACTAGCGCTGTGTGGTTGCCAGTCAAGTAGGTGGAGCGTTGCCGGAGCCTTCCATGCGTTGAAACTCCAAAACAGATTTTCTGGACACGGACAAAAAATGTCCCTGGGGACTTTCGCCGCGATACAGATTTTTCGGTAATTCAAAATTTCCGTTTACCGGCTTCCGGGCCAATTGACAAATCAGAGCCCAAGCTTGATTTTTGATTTTCTGGAAACATTTTTTTCCGATTTCAATAAGACCAGCTCTAAGCTACGGAATTTTCCCCCCGGGGAGGGGATCGTTTTTTTTTCTTAAACCAACCCCCCCCGGCGGGAAATTGACGTACCGCGGGGGGTTGATTGTTTTTTTCCAACGCTACCCTGGGGGGAAGCACCCCCCCGGGGGTTGCGCAAAACAATGATGGTCCACACACCACACACACAGCGAGTGGTGAAACTGAGATGGATAAAGATTTACGAGGAAGCGTTCAGCAAGCAGAGGGAGGAGGAACGTAAGGGCAACAAAGACGAAGAGAAAAAAGACAGCAAGAGGTACCATTGCCTAAGCTCATGCACAAGAATTCGCAGTACGTCCGCAGGAATAAGCTGTTTGTATGCTTCGATTATTTTTTCCCTGTGTGCGCAAGGTTTCGTCAGCATGCTATTTGGTACTTTTCAGCTGACTTCGGGGATGATAAATCCAAGAAATAGACAAAAAAACGAAAGCATTACACTCCTAACACAACGACGGGGCCAAGTGACAAACGGTACACCTTACTCTCGCTCGAAGCGCAGATCTGCAAGTGAATTTTCCGTCCTTTATCATGCTTTTTGTGCACCGCGATGCAACAACAGCGAGTCAGAAAACAAGGGAAATACATCCCCCCCGGGGGGAACTCGTGGGAAAAATGATACCCCGGGGGGAAATTGACATACCCGGGGGAATGTTTTTTCTTTTTGGTCGAAAAAGATCTACCCCGGGGCTACAATTGTGAATCAACGAACTCATGCTTCCAGGCCGATTAGTAATGGGAGGGGGAGGGAACTCTAACCCGGGGGGAAAACTCCGTAGTTTGCGGTATGTTCCTGGACTGCCTAGAGTTGTTTTGTCGACTAAATGATCATCTAGAAAGGCGGCAGCATGCTGATCCTCCTGCCTCACAAATAGGCGCTGTGCATCCGGAAAAGTTGCTGTTGCAGAGAGGACTCTGCAACAGCGAAACGACGACATAATTGCACCCAATGTACCATTGCATGGAACAAGTAAATCAGATGTGAACGAGAAATGTGCATCAGCACTTTCGCCTTGCCAGCTTTGGCGAGACACGTACTGCAGATGCGGCGCATTTCGTTGTCGTCTGCGATTCTTCCGCAATTGCCGTGGAGCCGCCCGCCCCATCCTTCCTGACAGCGTTGCCCATGAGGGGGTTCTGGCCAAGTGTCGGGAGACTTGCACAATTCACCTTCCGCACATGGCGTGGTGCGCCTTCACGTAAAAGCTATAGGGTCTGTAGATGCACGTGGTGTGTGGTTTCTACGTGTGTCAAAAAAAAAATGGCCCTATTGTGGGGTGTAGATGTGCCCACACCGGCGTTATTGCGGGCCGCCCTCAAAAAGGCCGGTGTGGCGCTATTGCGGGCTCTGGCTGTGCCCAACATTTTCACCGGCGCTATAGAGGGCCACCGGCGTTGTTCAACCGGCGTTATTGAGGCCCCTCGACTGTATGTGTGATCTTCCTCTTGTATCACCCCGGCTGATATCTACCGTTAGGTATATACGCCGAAGGTCTGTAAACCGGCGTCAGAATAGACGGGACGAACACACACACGATGCATCTCAGCTGTCGAGAACTGACGAGCTGATGTAGGAAAAATGTCATGAATCACGGAATTCTCATAGGGAAACGTAACTAGACACAATGACCGGGACCATCTTTGTAATTTGGAGCCACGGCGGTGGTAGTCTCGCGCTAAGCCGTACTCTCTCCTGCTGTTGTTGTACTTGACAGGAACACTGCATCGAGTACACGAGGAAGCTTGAGGAGGGGGGTAAATTCACGCTGTGTGTCTGGCCCGAGCACTGTCTGGTGAGTGTGCGTACATATGACCACAGAACGACAGCGGAAAGAGGTTACGTGCCTTACTTCCACATGTTTCGAAACATTGGATGATAACGATATACCTGCATCTCCAAGTAGACTGGAAGTCTGCGGTGCGCACGCCCGTGTCTCGTTGCCTGCTATTTCTCCCCCTAAGACTTCGGCCTTCTTGAGACCCCCGGGACGGGTTGTATTCCGGAGTTTTCGACACTATGAAGACGTTCCTTGTTGCGATCTTTCAAACACTCATCGGCGGGGACCCTCCGAGCATGGCAAATATAAAAGGAGTGTCGCATCACATTGACCGTCTTGTTCTTTTTTCGGTCCTCCTTCGGAATCCGCCACCGTCCCATTCGAACTCAGATTGGAACTCCAGGCCATGCCGTCAATCCTGTCATAAACAAAGGTGAGAAAGATCATCTCCGTAAGTTCGTTCTGTAACATGCTGGGCCGCTTTTGTTGCTGTTTCGAGTGTGGAAAATGTGGGACGTGAAGAGGACGCAACCATGTTTGCCGGCTCTTTCAAGCTTACTCCTGCTGCGTCCCAGCCAACCGAACAGAACCCACTTCTTGCGAACGCATCGTTTGTATGACATGTGCGGCGAGTAGAGAACCATGTAGGTGATATGTCCGCTGAAGTCACCGCTCCAAGACGATAAGTTTGGTATGGGGGTCCCCATTCTGAAGCCGAGGTTCGAAGCGTATGTGCTAGAAGGAACGGCCTACTGAACTGGTCTTCTCCCACGGCCGGCTCCTGACATGACGGTGGACTCAAATCGGCCTGGGTGGTTCCGAACCGGGTTGCGCCTCCGGACGGAATGACACCGAACAAACGAACCCGCGGCACCAATACAGCAATCCAGGAGTGGGCTGTGACCAAAAAGAGGAACGTGACGTACGTTCACAAGGGACAGCACCCGCTCACTGAGCACTACAGGTGTAGTGCTGCTTAGGGTTGGGGATCTGATCGTTCTTCCAGGGTCTTGTCCTTACACTCAAAGCTTCTGGTAACAAACGTTTCTCTTCCTGGCCTTGGGCTGCCAAGTATACACCACACCGCAGCAGTTCTGTCGGATTCAACATACGCTTACAGACTACCGCACGGGATAACTACAGTTCAAGTTGCGCCAGAAACACGAAAGTAGGTTGAAAAAGATACCATGCCCCCAACAGAATGCCACACCTGGTTGGTAGCGTCCCGAAGCCTAAAAAATTCTATCAGTGGTATGAATTCTTACGCACCGCTCTGTAGGCTGTGCCTACCGCACCCCGTCTCTCTCTCGTTCAGCTTCTGGCATGACGGCGACCATGGTCCCACACCACCCGAACTCCTTTTCACTTTCTATGCTCTTCCTTGTCTTCCCGCACGTATAACCACCACCAGCTGCTTCGCCGCGGAGGTGCCCGTGGCAGGCGATGAAGCGAACGAAAATGGTCGGATCCTGCTCGCAAAGCTGTGCGCACGAGACGTCGTGGTGGTGTGCGGACAAGCGTCTTCCCACTGCGTGAACTTTTCCGCCCGAGACTTGGCGGCGGCGTGGAAGCGAACGACCGCGGGGGGTCTGGACGAGGACATTACCCGGCGTCGGATGGGAAGCCTGGTACTACTCAAGGACGGCATGTCGCCGGTCACTGGATTCGAGGTGGGTGGACCCTCGTTTTGCCTGACGGCGTTGCCGCGTTGTTGCCGTCGTTCTTCTTTGATAAAATCGTAAGGTAACTTCTGTCCTTGGCGGTCAACATCGTACACTGCTGTCTGTGAAGATTCCATGCCCTTCCTTCTTTGGTGAAAATTGGTTAACAGCTAGTTTTACCAAACACATGTTTGTTTGACGGACTCCGCGGGGGGAATGGATCAATCCATAGTGTATCCGCCAAACGGCGGGGCACCCGTGGCCCTGAAATATCTCACTCCATAACCCCGTACAACTGTGCGGTCACCGTTCCAAGCTCATCCCGCCCTCTCTGGTGTTGCTCGACGTCGTTGTCAGAGTGAGGCTTCTAAGTTCTTGGACGACATGGCCGGGATGGGGATAAGCGTGCGCTCGTGTGCCGAAGTCTCCCTGAATCCGTGATTGCGGAACGCAACCGCTGTGGGCTAATCAAGTCAACGCCTGATACGGGACGCACTTATTACCAAAATTGATGGTAGCTGCTGTTGGGTATCTGTGTTCTCAGGGATGATCCAGTGGCAGAGGTTCGTGTATTCAGAGTGGGGTATCGAGGTAGCCTATCCACACACAATACCACAACACCTAGTGGTAATTTTTTTTGGGGTCAACATGAGTCCAAACCGTAAGAAGGAATAGGGCGACGAAAGATTCACACACCCCACACAGTAGCACAACCGGTGATGAATGTTTTTGAACCAAACGTATCATCACCGGGTATATGTTTTCTTGTGTCCTGTTACACGAGGTCCGGCAGCTGAAGTCAACGTTACAGTATACTTCACTTGCCTGCTTCACGACAAAGGAACGCAAACGACACAGCTGTATTCTGGGTGGAGCCTTTTGCAATCCTTGCTTGATACTCGGTCTTCTCTTCGTGGAGGATTGATTGCCTTGTACGAGGTACCCGCAGGCGTAACAACCACGGTAGCCTGTCACCGTACACACACTCGGAAGGAACCAGACCGGCATGTTGGGGAAACGCCCCCCCCCCGCCCGATTTTGTTCACCTATGTGTTACACCTTACGCCTTCTACAGTTTTCCTGGCGACAACGGCAGGCCTTGCTCGTCAAAGCAGGTTTGCTTGCCCGCCTTCCTTTCACCCGATACGCTCACCCTGTGACGCAAAACCTCGACACTGTTCCGGTACGGCTCGGTCCCCTTCGCACCACCCTTGGCCGCAGGCGACGTGACAAGTTCGGCTAAGGTCGAACCGTCCGGTACTTGGCTGAAGCCCCGCCCGCCCCACCCGCCGATTAGCGGTAGACGCGGGTGCGGGATGACGGGGTTTTGGTCCTGAAAAGTTGGATCAAGGAGGTACCCTCGGGACGCAAACCTTCCAATCACACCCACGCCACCCGCTTCGGTTGAATTGGGGATACGAACCGCCTTGCTCCGACTTCGACCGGGGCTAGCACTCAAGCTGTTCGTCACCGACCAGTGTGCGGCCGGTCGTGCAAACTTGACGAATTCTTTCCCTCCAGGAGCACATTTGCTTCCGGAACTCACGGTATTTTGTTCCGGCTCCTGTCTATCCACCCCATGTCGGCATCCACGGTCAGCCTTACTTTTCTCGGGGCCCGGTCGGCATTCCGATCCGGGGGGAAAGCCCGTTGGTCGGGTGCTCGCGATGAGCGGGCTCTGGACGATATCAACAGGAGCGGGCGATCTCCCTCTCAACTTTCTACTTCTAGACTGGGATCGCCGAGACGCTTCGATCGAGCGCCCTCTCTTCGCGGCCTCAGGCATCCCGCCGGGCCTCTCGATGGTTGCTAGGGCCTGTAGTGATCCCCCCCCCTCCTCCTTGCCTTGCCCGACTCCTTTCTTCCTCGTTCCACCCAGACTGTAGTGTTCTTTTCTGTGGATGAGCTCGTGCCGGAAGTTTGCTTCCCTCGCGCTCAGCAAAGCCAGCGGTGTCGCCGTGACAACACCGGGCGACTCAGCAATCGACTCCGCCGCAGCAATCGACTCCCCCCCAGGCTGCGCTTCAGCAATCGAACCGCGACTGTCGTGTACTTGCGCGCCAGCGTTGTCGCTGCCAAGGTGTACAGCTGGTGTTTGTTTCTTGGCGGTACCGCAAGCTTCGCTTTCGCCACCACGCTTCCCGCGGTCGTCGTTTCGAACTTTAAAGGCGGCGTGCGGTGTGTTTCCAGATACGTCGCCGTGCTCCCCGGTGAATCCTAACCCTTTACAGCTGGTCACCCCACACCCCGAGTACGTTCCGGGTCTCCCTGAAACCGCCTTCTCTGCAGCAGTGGTCGACGTTGACAAACTATGTGATGTCTTCCCGATGCGTGCATGCCCACCTCTGGATTCCACGGCCGCGGCGGAATCCGTGAGAGGAGGATGATTGCCTTCGGCCTGTGCGCGTTTTTGACCCGGTTCGAGCCGTGCTTCTGTGGCTTCGGCGGTGTCTTCGGAGGCCAAGAACCGTGCTTTTTGGTGCCTACCTAGTATTGCCTTTTCTCCCGGTCCGGGTGGAGATGCGGGGATCCTGGGTGAGCCGCACTTATTGACGCGGGCCCCAACAAGGTAGGCAACCTCTGTCGCTAAATCTGAGATCAGTCGAGACTCGGCGCTGCGCGGCTTGAGGAGGCTTGGCATTGAATTAACTGGCATGCGTTCCCGGGCATCTACCTTTCCACCTGCACCGTCCCCTCTTGGTTTCATCACCGGCGGAGTTTGTGCTCTTTTTCTTGACGAGGCCGATGAGGTTGGGCGAGAATCCCGGCCGCTAGTCGTTTCCGGTCGGAAGCCCGGGTAAGCGTTGTTCGCGATTCGATTCAACGAACGAAGCACCGGCGGGTCCGCAATTAGAGAGGCGTAGACTCCGTCCGGGAATGACCCAGCACCGTGGAGTATTCTCAAGACCTTTGGAATTTGTTTGAAGTATGGACGGTTTGTGGAGATCGTGCCCAATTCGACACGGAGGGAGGAGCAGGTTGATTTCTGTCACTGTCAACAATGGGACTTTCGCTCAGTGAATGAACAGTAAGCGGTACGATGATTCGCCCTACTCGTTGTTGTTTCGCTCGAAGCCGGGACAAAAGCGTGTCCCATCAGAACACGCACATGAACATAACATCTCGTCAAGATGGTGTACTTGGAGTACTCGGAGTGTCTCATGTACATAGTTTCAAGGAATCACATTTCAAGACACAACAAGCCACCCGTCTAACTCAGGCTACGTAACGTAGGCGGGGGATATCGGAGACGGAAACAGTGAGCGAAAACGCGCGGTTATTGGTAGAAAATAAAAAAACATACCTGCTTGAGCAGCGGCATCGGCGAGTTAACGTCGGTGGCAACACTGCACGCAAGATGTATACCTCCCGCATCTGCTACCATGGGAACCGATCTGATTGTGTCCGTGCAGATCGCGCCGAGAGCATACGCTGCGTTATGTCTTGCCAACTCGATGTGCATCCTCGTCGCTCCGAACAGCCTACCGTGCTCAGCAGGGGTGGCCAGCATCCCGAGCAGCACCGTCAGAGTTTGGTACCGAGGGTGTAGTATGAATTCGTTCGCGGCGCCAGTTTTACGGTCGCACGTGCCAGCCATGCGACCGATGAGGACGCAAATTTCGCTTCGGCAGCGCAGCGTTGCGAGTCTAGCCGCCGGACAGCCCGATACGTCGAGAGCCAGCCTCTCGAGGCAGCGCTTGAGAGTGCCACTGCTCTGGACGACCGCGCGACCCGACGGCACCCGCGCGATGTTCGCAACTAGACGGAAGTAGTCGAAAGGAAGAGAGCAAAGCTTCCGTGTTGACGCATCTGCCATCTCTCCTTCGCGAACATCGTACCCGCTGCATGGGGGCTGGGGAGCAGAGCGCCCATCGCTGCAACCCCCGAAGCCCTTCCGCCCCACACAATCTCCCCTTCGTCGGGGTGCGTTTTCTCCTCGTTCGCTGGCCACGCTAGATTCTCTTGTTTCTGTCGCCGTTGTCTGTGCCTGTTCACCACCAGGGTTTGTCGTAGATTTCAAAGGTTCTGGGCTTGCTGGTAGCAGCCTCCCTTCCCCGTGATTCGAACGAGCCGACCTACTCGGCGAAAGGCTTCCGCCTCGCCGGACCTGCTCTCGCTCGGAATGGGCAGCCACCGGCAGGACGGCTGGGGCCCTCGGGCCGAGGCGAATTACTGCTTTCATGACGTCATGGGTGTCGAGGAGCATCTTTCGCCAAACGCAGGCAGAAACAAACACAGCCATTGCGTGTAGAAGACAAAAACGCCAAAAGGAGAGAGGGAGGGATGAGATATCGGTGGTCAATCGGGGACATACGGTAAGGCAAATGGGCATATATCGTTGTTTGCTATATTCCGCAGGGACTGGACCCAGGAGTCACAAAGGATGTGCTACCGGTACGTCGCCTTCCGATGTGACACGCATGCGTTTTTCAACAGCTCGACTCTTGCGACGCCCACGGCAACAACTTCCACGCACCTGTACCGTCGTGTTGGCGTCCGAAAGCTTGGCCAGCGCGCGGCAGGCAAAGGCGATGATCTCCAGACTTTCGGCCACCATCAGCGTCGAGCACAGCGACCCTCCCACGGTAGCGACCAAACGCTCCATGAGAGGCTGACAGAGCTGAAGACTCAAAGACTCGTCTTCTGGCTCGTCAAACCTGCGGGCCCGATGGTCGTGGAAACAAAGAGCGACGAAGTCCTTCTGCGTTGTGATATCGATGTCGTGCAAACTCAGTATTTCACTTTTTGGAATGATTCCTCCCGATGGAATCCACTACCGTTCGTGGATCGGGGGAGAACTTTTGGTACCTCATAGCTCATGTGTATGGTACGAGCGCTTTTTGGGTTGGCGACGTTAGCCGCGAACCACAAGGCAACACCGTACATGCGCTCCCCACCACATAAAACTAACTCTGCGCGCTCCAGCAAGCAGTTGCACCAGAATCAATGTCGACATGAAAGCACCATTTATGCGTGCCGACCTTGTGAACGGATCTCGCTCCCCGGCAGGCACAGGGCAAACGCCCGCGACAAGAATCGCCGCAGAGCTCACGGTGCGCTCCAGGTGTCGATACATGTGTCCCTCATCTCCAGCCCAAGCCACCCGCGACGGCATCTGCGCTAAGCAAGCGACCTCGTTGATGGCTGTCGTCGAAAGCAGGCTGTCCGCCACGCGCCGTAGAAGCCCATGGTCCACGATAACACTATTGCTGTCTTGGGCATCCTCCGCCTGTCCACGACCGAAGTCCACCGTACGATTCTCCGGTTCCCCATCTCCTAAGAGAGGGGCTCCCGTCGCACCACTCGTCGCCAGAAATGCCAAGGCACGGCAAGCGAGCTGGATGCTTCGGAACATCAGGGGGTAGTCCACCCCGGGGGCTAGCGTCCCCACGGTGAGGTCAATGTAGGCAATCTGGATCGAGTAACAGAGATAGCGCAGCGTAGGGCCTGTTATGATGGCCGGGTGCGGACCGGCGAGCACCGCGAGGCCGTGCAAGGCCACCGCCCCGAGGCAAGCGTGTCGCTGCGTCAGCCTGAAGAAGTGGGGGCCACTCGAGCGGCCGCCGGGCTTCCTCCTGGTTCTACCTGCCCCGCCCCCGCCCGACAGTATGACGCTCTCGTCATCATCAGTGCCGTATTCTTCTCCGTCGTCTTCTCGCACGAGAAACCGCATCACCGCCTCCAGCGAACCCATGCGCACCAGCCCGCGGACAGCGTTCAGAGGCGCTGGCGGGGGCGCGTCAAGGATGCCCACGAGGTCGTCGTACAGCTTGCCCTCAAAGTCGAGAGGGTGCGGCTTTGGGGGGCCCGAGCGACCAACACCACCGGCTTTTGGAAGCGACAATCCCGGGGGCGCGGTGGCCGATGGCGTCGCGCCTTCGCCGGTGGAGCCGGGCGCGGACCCCGGGGCCCCCTGCCGGGCGATGGCTACGGCGCAAGCGAGCCCGCGCAAGAATACCGGGCTGTCTTGAGCCTGGGCGCCGGATATGAGGGGCCGTAGCATCGTCATTCCGTCCGTTGCCTCGATACCATCTCGACCTTTGGCAACGGGTATCACCGGCAAGGACAAGGTTCGGTTAGCAGTATCGCGCGGGCAGATATCACAGAGGCGGAAGGATATGGAACACCATGACAGGACCGTGGTACGGGTTTAATGGCGGAATGGTTATTGTGGGATGTTGCTTACCGTGGTCATGCTGCTAGCAAGCAAGGGTGCCCTGAACATACATTCCGAACAAGATCAATACGTTCAATGGCAGAATCGCTTCCTTTGAGCTTAAAATCACCTTCTTGGCGAGAGCAGAGCTGCAAGAAAAGCGCCAGGGACATGTCTGGAACTATCTCCTCTTGGCTCTGCACGCCCTGAACCAGAAGCTCAAGCGCCCTTCCAGCGTATGCTAACATCTCTTGCAGCACACTGTGGTAGCATACGGTGGTTGCCAGCTGGACAACCCAGCGAGAGTAGCACCAAACGTTGGGTTCTATGTAAGCTTTCTCCGTACAACCACGAAGAGGAACAAGACAAAACCACTGGGAGTTCTTGCGCAGAGCTTGGGCGCTTGGTGATGCTGAACCCAGGCGTAGCAAGGGTGTGTATCACAATGTTCCATAGATTTCCCATCCTAGTTGTCGCCATCAGAAACCATAGAATGTTGCTTACCACGACTTACAACCGTCCTACACTCGTAGGCCCATGAAGCATCAGATGTCGAGGCTTTACTAGTAACCAAAGCATGAAACGGCAGAATGGAACAGGTTCGCGCAGTCATCGATACCTTGCCCAGTATAACTACTCCGGCAAGGTACAGTTGGGCGTCTGTCTCCCCTAGCAGACCGGTCAGAATAGCCACAAGATTCGGGAGTCCCAGCTGCTCTCTTACGCTATCCTCCACCTGGCGGAAACATTGCAAGCGCAGCGGTGAACGAGTCTTGCCACACAGAGTTGGGGCGACATCTGTCAACCCTGATTTCGTGGATCGAGAGGAGAGTAGAAGGACACGAAGGCGCCACCTGCGTTCTAGTGCCTAGCCGACCGTTACACACCTTTGTACAAGAGACATGGCGCGCGATAAGGGCAACCTCGGGTACTGCCGACGGGTAGAGGGGCGGGTTTCATGGGAGAATGGCCGCTCTCTTTCAGGCTCAGACCTGTGTCAGTATCTCAATGGACTAGTTTATCTCGTGAGGGAGGAAAACTGTGTTGCTTGCAGGGAAAAACGATGCATCCTAGTGCCTCATGATTTCATGCATACAAGTACACAACGGTAGGCTTATGCTGGCAAATACTGGACCTCGCGCTACATTGTCGCCATCTGGTAGCCTGATCTCCGACTCTAGCCCCCCAATGCTGCTAACGTCCGCTACCAGTACAGCGATGAGGGACAAGTCAGGCTTATGCCGGCAAATATTGGACCCCACGCTACCTTGTCGCCATCTGGTAGCCTGATCTCCGACTCTAGCCCCCCTATGCTGCTACCGTCCGCTATCAGTGCAGCAATAAGGGCCGAGTTTCCTTGCCCTCGACTGGGATTTGCAGATCTCAGCTTGCAGAACCTCATGGCGCTAAAAGCCATAGAGTCGACAGCGTCGAGTGCCTGCGTGGTTGAATCGCGGAGTGCAGCCATTCAACGATTCTGCCGTCGACCCGCAATTCTGTACACGGCAACATTGTATCACGAGATATGTATTACAATGGCGTTGGTGTAGCACAGTTGAAACGAAAAGGTTACCTGGTAGGTCGGAGCTTCAGGGACGTTGACGCCATTTTTCCTGGTTTTCTTCATCGGGAATGTGTCCGTGGAGTATCAGTTCAGTTCGCGGATCATTCTTTAACGAGGACCCAAAAATGCTAGAACGACAGGGGTGAAGAGATTTCGATTCGATCTGGTAGCTTAAGGCTTTGAGTCATATGTATCTAACACGTTGATCAGGCTACGACGCTGGGGCTGGAAAAGTACGCATTGAATCGCTTGCCTTGTCTCACCTCCAACAACCTGTCAATGGAAGCCTCCCGCAGCTTAGGCAGCAAGCGAGAGAGATATTCTGCGACGCCGGCTTTGAGAAGCTCGTATATCAGCAACGGCTCGCGGGCCAGCTCTCGGAGAATGCGACAAGCGAGCCGCTGAGACCTATTGCGTAAGCATTCGGTCAAGTTAGTTGGGAGAGAAAATGAATCGCCGGATATGCTTCACGTGCTTCCGCGTTCATATCGAGTTCCCACCGTGAGATTTGTCGGCGCCGGCGGGGTACCATCGGTGAGACGAGGTGCTGCCGTCGGAGGAGGCTTACAAAAATCCGATGCTTGCACTTAACAGCCGCACGAAGGAAATATGCTAGGAGGGATACTGGTGCAGGGAAACGGAGTCTATGGGGGGAAATGTGTTGTCACAGCAGTATCAATGACCCTCTGCTATCTTCCATACGGAGTAGCAACGCCACGGGGCCCTTTGTAGACAAACGTACAACCTAGACCGGCCCGTACCAAGTGGTATTCCACAAGTGTTCGTGACGCTGACCATTGAAAGCGAGACCAACCCGAAGTAATTTCTAGCCGTCACGCAAAATAGTTGATCAAGGCTGAATTCGCTCATCCGACTGCAAGGTTTCAAACCTGTCCCCGGCTTTGAAATGGACACTCAGAGCCAGGAGACCGCCGGCTCCGACGACCTTAACTCTGTTCATGCGGCAGAATCTCGGGCACGTGTCGTTGTCGATGAGGGCCATAATGATGCATAGGTACGCATGGAGTAAACTTGGGGGGAGAGATCCGTGCTTCTCGTCAGCGTTGATTCGTCGCCATCGCGTACGAAGCTCCGCGCCCTGGCCATTGTGACACAAGCAAGTATTATTGCAACAATATACGCCGCAGAATCTTCAAACGATTGGTACGCGAATTGGGTTTAGCTTGGTCTGCCAACAATAACACTGCTGTTCAGTATAGACATCCAAAAATACCAGTGAGGATTATCGCCACGAACTACTTCACACACCGTACCTGCATGAGGAGAGTCATACGTTTGTGCGTGGCAATGGCGCCCGGGAGCTCCCGATACTGTTCTATCCATCTGGGGAAGGTGTACCTGCATTGACGGTAGATCGGAAACGGTGAACAGTCGCCAAATGCCACCGACAAAAAGCTGCGGAATGCAGAGGTTTGCAAGACGGAGCAACTTGATACCATGTTTCGCAAGCCGAACCCGATCATGCAGCCTTCGTTGGGCCAGAATTTCAGGGGGCCTACCATGCGGCAATGCAGTGCGACGCGCGATGGTTGGTTCAGCGTACTGATATCCAATTTGTCATTCTGCTGTTTCTTCAATAAAGTTTTCTATGTATGATTCCCCTTTCTCCACTCCGCTCAAGAAACCATTCCCTCTCCTTCCTCGGCAAATACTTTGGAATGTGAGGTCGCCCGTTTTTTCAGCCGATAAGACACAAGGAACACGACAAGCCTCACCGAAACACGATCACGCGTGCAGCCGTATCCATCCTGTATATCATGAGGCGAAGGACGCGTGCAACAACGTTCAGCTGGGTCATCGACTCCGCCATTGCCGGGGCAAGAATACCCAACAGGATGTCCAATTTGAAAACGCGTGCATTAAGGACGCCCTTGACCATTCCGGGCAATCCGTCGTTGACGACAGCCTCCAAGTTTCGTTGGAACCACCTGCGCAAGGCCAGCAGACCGATTGATTGACTGAGACTCGTTTTCTATGTTATATATATTTGTTTTGGGAATGGGTCCTTTCGCCGTTTCCCTTTAAATATCTGAAGTTCTCTTACCTTAAAAAAACCGCGCTGTCATGGCCCTGGTCCCTGTCCAAGTGGGACAGATGGGCACCTACCTGAGGGCAGAAGGGTAGATCTCCACCAGCTTACGCAGCATCCCCGCCGAGAGCAGTCGCCGTCGTCGATCTTCGGACGTGTAGCATTCTTCCAACAGCGTCTGACAGCTGACCTCTAGTTGATCCATTGTCCAGTTTCTTGAATCGAAATCCTCCACCGCGTTCCTGATATCAGGGTCGTCGATGAGATCGAGCCCGTCGCAAGATTCGTCTTCATTTTCTCCTGAGTCCCGTCGGCTGGCAGCTGCGACTGCAGTCGAATATCTTTGTGCTTGGCTGGCAGCGGTTGTGCTTTCGTCACTATCCTCGGACCAACCACTTGAGACCGATACAGCATCCTCTTCTGCTTCAGCAACCGCATCTGAAGTCGGAGCACCTACACTTGGTCGGCCGGCGAAAAAACATGAGGCAAAATGAAGCCACTGGATCAATGCTTTAGCTTCGAGATATGTGCTCCAACAGACTTTGTGTGTTTTCACAATGTTTACGGCGGCACATGAAAGTTTCTAGACTCCAGCCAAGTCGAACGCAGATTGCAAGGGGGAAATTACTGGAGCGAGGGGGGAAAAACTGCAGAAAATAACAAGTACTCTTGCAAAAGCGCTATTACTACACCTGCTGCTGGTTAAGGATTTTAGTATGAACGTTGTTTGGGGTACTCAGCACTCGATACTGATCTACGGAGATCTAAGAAGGGGGTTCGTGTATCATTGATCGTATGTATTGGTAGATATGTATCGGTAGAGGGGCGATCTTCCTTCTGCTGTGCATGGGCTAGCAAGCCTGGCGCACTCGTTAATGAAACCAAGGTCTTCAGTCAACCTCCTCTTCTCTACGCTTCTGACATCAAGCTGCCCGCCTCCAAACAAACTCCTCAAATAGACTACGTTTAGGATCTCTAATACAGGCGGGGCAGTCTCTGAACATGTCAACAGCAGAGGAAAATTGTTTCGCCATGAGGGGTGTTCCAGCCCTTCGCAAAGTGGTCCCGAATATGTTCCTACCCCCTGCACCTCCAAGATCTCCCATGGTAGGAGCGTGGACTACGGGATTACTGGAAAGGAGGCGCATCTTGTCCTGGCCGATGGTGGCGACGTGATCCGCCATGGGATTGTTCTGTCCCGCGAGGCTCTTCTCGTTGATACCCATGGCATTCATTTTGGCCGCATATTCCATAACCATCCGTCCTTGTCGGCCCACTCGTTCCCCTGTGTCCCCAAGAGCAGTTTCCCAGGGCTCCGGTGGGCCACCCTGTCAGGGTAGCAGTAGAAAAACCAATGGATTAATATCCCCGTTCAAGATGTGCATGTGTATGCACCAGGTAGTGTGGTGTCTGCGAATGAATCGCCGGTGTGGACCTGCCCAAACAAGTAGATGGAAAGATTGGCTCACCAGGTGGTATGATTGTACATCTTGGTTCGCCCGAAGCGACTCTTTCGCCTCTCGAGCCTGGGCACGGGCAACTGCATCGTCCAAAGTGTCGTTCATGTTATTCTCAGTTGGTCGCCGACAAGACAGCTACGACCGAGGAACATGACGTATCGTAGGTATCGGTCAGTGCCCAATCGAGTGAGTTACGACCTTGTGTGCGTGCCAAGCGACGTTGTGGATGCTACCTCGTGGTGGTGCCTAGCGCAAGAGCACACAAGAAATTGCTTTGAGCAAACTGGGACGTCTCGATGCGGCGAAACGTCTTCCCGAACCGGTACAGATTACGCCGCACCGCATCATCAACAGCAATATTTTTCATTTTTCCCTTAATCCCGCCGCCACCGATGGACGTTGCTACGGCGAGCCTCGCGACACCGCGAGCAGCGCGGCGTGGCTCACGTGACAAAAAGTAGGCAACTCTTGAGGGTATGGTGGTCTGATAGCAGGATTCCTCATGTACTCTTTAAGAACGCAGGAGAAGCTGGACGCTGAACAAAACCAAACCTCTTCGCGGCAAGTGCTATGGAACAATCTGAACGACAAGAAGAAGTCCGGCCGCATGATTCGCCGAATCTACAAAAAGACCAGGTGACCCTCCTAAGCAGTCACGGTAGCTCTGGAAGTAACGCACCCTTCAGCTGTACGCTTGACATCCGTCCACTCACGCCACCGGCGGCGTGTACGTGGCGTCCCGATCCACTCGACGGAACACCTGTTGAATGATCATGATTTTACGAAGGCAAGAGCCCATGCTTCGCGCATCAACGGCTGCTCGATTTGATTTGATACTCGTGAGCAGGGAGGAGATGGCCCAGTCTTCCAGAACCAGGTGCCGCAAATGGGTTGACAACGCAAACGCAGACATGAAGAGCTGGGTGAGAGACCCGCAGCCGTCAGTGTTCAAGCATACCTTCCGAGACAGGCAGCAAGAGGCAGAAATCGGCCCGTCGAATGGACACGTATCGGGCCGCAAATACATACCAAGGTGCGTTACGTGGCTGTGTGCGGTAGTCGTGGTACCTTTGCTACGGTTCCCTCGGCTTGAGATTATTCACCAAGGACGAAGAGGTGCAAAAGTCTTGTGTTGGTGCAAGTCGTGGCACAAGAACTTCATGGACGACAACTTGTAACCTCTTCGCATCCATTTCGCGCGCGCGCCGTGATCTGGTTGTGGACCTACAAGTTTGATCGCGGACACTTAAAACCATAAGCATACCCCCTTATTAAAGATCCCCTCCGACAGGCTTCTGCACGGCTCCCCTCGGCGATGAAACGGTGAAACGCACGCATTTTCCCTCCCGTAACCGTGAGCAGATTGGTCTTCTCCGGAGGTGGAGAGCTTGACAAGGAGAAAACAGCGGATCTAATGGAAACGCTGGTAGAACCAAGCCGCATGCGGGGCAACGACCCGAACGCGTTGCAGAACCCCTGCCGTCCGACAGTACTCATCACCGACACGGTGTGTGTGTACTTGGAAAAAATAAGAATACAAGAATAATGAGTTCATGCTAAAAGGCATTATTGTACCGTGCTGCTGGTGTATACGTTGTTGTTGACCGTATGATGGCACGTATTCCATCGCATCCGCAACACATGTACTACCTCGCAAGTTGCACGAGCGCTAGTTTTATGGACCGTAGAGGTTATGCGAATTTCTATTCATCGCTTTAGTTTTCCCTGTGACTTTGATATGCTGACATGTTGAGGAACGATGAAGAATTTTTCTTGGGGCCTACTTCTCAACTGACAGGCTAAGATACGGGGTCGAGTTGAGCATCCCCACTGGGAGCCTCCGCGATACTTCCTGCGCCCAAGAGAAAAGGCGAAAGAGATCGGTAAGATGGTCGATCAAGAGGACCGCACGAGTTCGGTTCGGCAATACGTACTATGCAAAAGGCTTGTTCACTCCCCCCAGTCTGCATTCTGGGAAGCCTGGCTTGCGTGGTGTGCTACATCCTTCCCAACATCACAATGGACATTTCCCTCTCGCAATACGATGGAGGATGTTGTTTTACCGATCTAGGCGCGTACATTCGAGAGGTGCAGGGTGCGGCTTCGGCATAAACACCACCCTGCTTGCGTCCTACGCTGTTTTGTCCGCGACATAGGTGTCCCTCCTACCTATTATAGATGAATCAACCAACAACACTCGGCGCTGTGCAGCAGCCGCTCGTTGCCGTTGCTATCAAAGTTCATGCTTGTTCGTGATCTGCATGCTTTGCCCTGATCTTTACAAGGCTGTCGTTGCTCTCAGGTCCAGACGTACAGTACGCAGACCGGAACGACATGCAGAGAATTTTCTCCGCGGTGGTGAAGAATAGTCTGTTTTCTTGGGGAGAGTACGAGGAGCGGGGTGTTGGGGGTGCCCCAACTTGCAGACGCGTGAGTTTCTGATCACGGTGCCCTTGTTCGCTCTTGGGGACTGACGATGTTTTCTTGTTGTGTAGCCTTCCCTGAGCCTGGCTTTCTCGGTATCGTCAGCTCCGCTAAGCGTGCGCTTTTCGGTCCATTCCGTCCATAGACTATACTTCCATGAACCGTTCGGGCCAATTGTGTTGCTTGCTATAACACACTCGTACGCTATCACACCGGCCCAATCTCCCAGGAAATCCCCAGTAAATGGATGGGCGATCGACCTTTCCATCCAGGGTTCAGGTACAGAGACAACGGTTGGGAGAGCATGGCAGGGGTCAAGTTTCCTCCGGAGCTACTGAACGAGGGCGAATACAAATCGGCACAAGGGTTCTCTCGAGACCGCCATCCAAGCAAGGAGGTGAACAGCAAGGAGGGCGCAATTATGGGTGCTGATGTATATGGCTCTATGAATATCCGCACGCGTGAAAGTTGAGAGTTTTTTTCGTCGTGACGTGTTGCACAACACAGGCGGGTTTTGTGTCAAGTACAAGGAGCGGGTGGTGAATCATCCAAACAGAAAGATGTGCCGGGAGAAAAATTGAAAGATGTCCTGCGGCGCGAGCGCCTACTTTCCCTTCCGATTCCATCGTGCCCACTTGAAAGCAAGCCTGTGGCTGTTGCAACAAGCGTGATTTTTTCTCGAAGGTGATTGTTAGTTCGCGTTTGCCCTGTCGAAACTGTGCTCAGCATCTGCGGCCAACCTCTTTTTCTCGCTCGTCGCCAACAGCTACCGCAGCACGGGCGGTTTCGACTGGTGGTTAAGAACGGAGAGTATGCTTGTCCTGACGGGGATGTCCGGAGAAGTCTTCGTTTCGAGGAGGTATGTATGCAATAATGGAATCTAGTTCATTGAACACGGTGCCCTGCGTTTCACTCTACATTTTATTTGTAGACTTCTCTAGTATTCAGGAAAAAATTGCAACACGGAAGGAATCGGGCCAAACCCGACGAACGAACATTGTTCTGGACGATCTTAAATCCATCCGTGGGGACGTTCGTGGGGGCGTTTCCATGCAATCAACTGTGAGCTGTAAGAAAGCTCGGACACTGCGGCTGCTGTGCGAGCAGTTCCAATGGCTGACCCTGGTTGCTTTGTTGCCACCCCGATCCAATCCCCGGCAACAGGAACCTCCGGAGCCCTACCCTGACGGGAAGATGTACTTCGCGAGCCAGCGATCCATGCCTGTTGTCCCGGCGGCCGGGAAGCACCTTTGGGAGACAGCGGCGAGCAACCAACCCCGACATCGCGAGTCTGTGCTACGCAAGTCGCGTTCTGTCGGGGCCCTCGACGGCCGGTCGGTCGCAGGACGAACGCCGGCAGAGGGGAACTCCAAGGCTGGGGCCAGCAGTGGAGGGGATAGGTCACAAGCGAAGGGTGGGAGCGGGTCTGCTTTTGACGGGCCGCTTGCGGAGTCCAAGTCGTCAACGGCCGTGCGTTTTCATGGTCAGGCAGGAGGGTCGGACGCTTTGGCCGAGCAGGAGGGGGGGGCGGGAGATGCTCGAGGGGACGTGGCTGCTACGATTACTAGTCCTCCTATGATCCAGGCAGGAGCGGCCTGTGATGCGAAAGTGGCCGGGAATATGCGCCGAGGTTCCGAAATGGCCACCTGGGCGGTAACCGGAACGAGTGAGAAGTCGGCTAGAGACTACCTGTGGTGACTGGTCGCCACAGGCAAGTCGCAAAGTGTCGGGCATACACTTACGTCCATCAGGGCGCCCGCTGAATATGAGCGGCGAACACCATGAGCCCACCCAACACCCAACACAGAAGGCCGGTGTCTAGAAGTGATGCTTGAGGGTTAGACCGGCTACGTTGTCTGCCCTAGACATCGCCTTTGGGCAATTTATTGGATGATTTATCTTACAGCAGTGCCACCGCGGGAGTTTGTTTGACATACCGGATGAATTCGTCTATTTTTGTCTCTCTCTGTGGCGGCAGTGGAGTGCAATGTTGTTTTCTACTTCATCCATCCATAAGATCGCGCGACAACCACCACCACGACCACCACTATCCAGTAGATAGTGGGCGAGTGAGAACACCGTCGTTCAGATACGATATTGTAGAAGGAGGCGCGGGTACTGGGCTGTTGCAGATATCCGTTCCAAGATACTGCTGCATCCTTATAGCTCGATACTGCTGGTGCACCGGGACATGTGTTCTATGGCTATTGTAGATACAGTCGACCCCGCTTTAAGGACGCTCGCGTTAAGGAAACTCCCCGCTACATTAGCTGAGCACCGGGGGCCCGGAAGAATATACGATAATGGGGTACCCCTATTTTTTCTGCCGCATACCCACCTTTTTGTGTGTCCTGCGGGCCTGCGGGTCGCTCTTTGCACGAACCACGCACCGCAGTGAGTGCAGAAGTAGCGACGCACAGACAGCAGAAGTAGCGAGCGGTCTGCTGCTGCAGCTGCAACTGGGTGTTGGTATGGATAGATTCCTCCCATCTGCCGGCGGTCCATCTGATGCCGCCAAAAAAAGAGTCGTGCATAACCTCGTCCCTCACCGATGGCGAGGTTATCTCTCGCTTGGAGGACGTTCGATCCTACAGAAAGCGCCCGCCGTTGAGAACCGTCAAAATCGTTCGAGCCTCACCAATCCTTTCTCTTGGGTCGAAGTACCGGCCCAAGTCGTTCAT